CAGTGCTGTCCCTCTGCTCCCTATGAGAAGCTGTAGCTGCCGTAAGGCCTCGCCTCAGCCTGCTCTGCTCCTGGCCCAGGACCTCAGCTGCCCCTCTTACATCTCCCTCTTCAGTCTCATCACTGTTTTTGTAGCCACAATTGGATGTTTGATGCTGTGAGGCACCCAGCCATTCACCCACACATTCACCCCAAAGGGCTGGAGCAGCTGGGTCTCAGCCTAACCCCCCTGCTCTTGTCTGGACACTATAATGCTGCCATTGACACCTGCATGCCCAAGATTTCATCTTGCTACATTTAGTTTGGCTTGTGGTGCATCTATGCCACTTGTCTATGGAGGTGAAGCAATCAAAAATAGACGTCATAGAATCATAAAACTGTTTGATTTGGAAGGGACACTTAAAAGCCATCTAGTTCAACCCCCCTGCAGTGAACTGGGACACCTACATCTCCATCAGGTGCTTAGATCCCATTCAGTCTGACCTTGAGTGTCTCCAAGGACGGGGCATCCACCACCTCTCTGGGCAACCTGTGCCAGTGTCTCACTGTCACTATTGTAAAAAACTGATTCCTCATATCCAATCTAAATCTCTCCTCTTAGTTCAAAAGCATTTCCCCTTGTCCTGCCACAACATATCTTGGTAAAGATTTTGTCTCCCTCTTTCTGATAGACCCATTAGATACTGGCAGTCCACTGTCAGGTCTTCCCGGAGCCTTCTCTTCTCCAGGCTGAACAATCCTGGCTCTCTCATCCTATCCTTGCAGGGGAGGTGTTCCATCCCTGGGATCATTTTTGTGGCCCTCCCCTGGATATGCTCCAACAGATCCACGTCTCTCCTAAGCCTATTTATTCACTAAGTAATTAGAAAACTTTTCCAAACCACCCCAAGAAGTCTGCCCTGGATTCACAACATACACAATTAATTAATCAGGCTGGGTCATGGTGCAGAGAGAATTTTTCAATGCTGTGTGCTTCATCATTCTGGCATGTATTTCTCATGTGTATTCACACACATCCCACCACCCTTTCCCTCAAAACAACCTAAGAGAATCATTCTTTCCTCCTTTCTAGCTTTTATTGCACAGCCAGATGCACACAGTGCCATCCCATCTCTTTTTGATGTCCTCAGTTATTGTGTTTGCTACTGTTTGAAAATCACACAACACTTTTTATTTGTAAATGTCTGATAAAGGTTTTCAGTTTAAAAGGGCTGACAGTACAAGCATTGTCCATACAAAGCTTAAAAATGCCACACACAAACCGACATGTAAGGCCATGTTTGATCTGTAATGCAAATAAATTAAACAAAGATGGAGAGCTTTAAGCCTGATGTTCTTTTGATCTTTGAAGCCTGGTGGCTTTTAAAGTACAACTATTTTCTGTATCACAGCCCAGCACTTACATGCATATGACCATATATATACGTATTCTTAGGTATAAAACAAAAAAACCTTCTGTGTTCCAAATAGGGTCAGTAGTTAATAGCAAGACTACGATTTTCTTTAAATGCCCTGTATGCATGAGCAGAGATGAGTCCAAATCTTGTCTCATTGGTGAAAACAAAATATTCTGACATGCACAGGATCTGGCAGAATTTATTTAGGCTAAAGATTTTGCAATGCAAGCAAGGCACAATTGAGCCCTAAAAAAGAAATGGCATGTGGTAGGTGGTAGTCATGGGACACAGTGACTCTGAAGAGTGCTTATAGGTGTCCTGTGGAGGAAAAATAACTCCTCAAAACACCAAATCCACTCAGGCCTAGCAAGTCAGTGCAAGATCCAGACAGGACATAAAATATATGTGCAAATCAAAGTGTTTGCACTGTCTTCCACCAGAGCTGGAACTTCAACAGGAAGGAGGAAGCTCCTTCCACTTGAGCCAACTGGCTATCATAGCATCATCTTGAAAGCATCATGGAAGGGTCTCACCCTGGATCACAGCAGGTAGAAGGCTGCAGTTGAGAACAAAGTGCTCAGCAGGAAGACTATACCCTATGGGAAATGCAGGCTCTGAGGGTCAATGACATAGCTGCTATTAGAAAGTGTTGTAAGGCCATCACTTAGGATTTGCACAGGGCTGAACCAAATGAAACTGGCTGAGCACCTCCTCTAAAGCTGGTATCAGCATGAGCTAGGTGCCATCTTGCTGTAGCACCAACACAGATAGCTGGGAAGGTTGGCAAGCTTACAGGTACAGCTACTGTGCCCTGAAAGCTGCTGAGATGTTCTCAGTGCCTACCACAGTGCAAAAAGTAGGTTCACATAGGCATGAGTTGTAAGACATAGCTCTTGGTATCAGCCACACGCTGTCTTCTTAAAAAATTGGCGATGCATGTAGTGTATAAAAGTATTTTGGCTTTCTCCATGAAGTGACTCAATAAACTGTAGCCACTGAGAGCACTGCCATATACAGAGTCCTCCTCAGTGCTCATATTTAAGTCTTCCTGAAGCGGAGAGAATGTATGCAGAGACATTCATGAAGCGAATTTAGCTTTTATGAATTTCATAAAATGGCACTAACAAAGTTCTAATGAACCCGCTTAAAAAAAAGTGTAAAATATTGGTAATAATAATAAAATAGCAGTAGCTTGCCTTGTTATAACCTCTACAGAAAAACCATTGTGTTAAGAGAGTTATTGACCTGGGTGGCCAAGGCAAAAAAGGGGACATTTTGGGGAGGCATGTGTTGATGAGGGAAAGTGGGAGTGTTTGTGCTTTGCTGAATGAGGACCCCATCTCAAGTGATCCAGCTGAGCAAACGGAGAGCTGTTTGGTTTGCATCTGAGGATGCAACAAGTCAGCAGAAAAATAACTGCAAATCGATGCAGAGCACATAGTTTTGGAAACACTCAGAGGAAAACAAAAGCCTGAAGCACTCTTTTGTTTCAGCTTAAATGAAGTGTTTCACTCTAAGTCGGAGCAGCTGAAGCTGAAGATCTCTTTTGCAGAGCAGAATTGAGAAAGAAGTAGTTTCAAACCTAAAAATTGGCACATACCTTTTTTTTTTTTCCCTGCAACAAGCTTTGAGTGGCACTCGAGCAAGCAGCAAACAATTGCTCCATCACTGGAGCATCATGGAAAGGTCTCACCTCATCATGTGTTTTCTCCTCCTGAGCACCCTGAGGCTGAAGCTCATTTTACAGACTCACAAATTTTTATGTTTTGATTTATGAAACATTCTTTTTAAAAGAAAAACACCTGCAGGCTTGTGGTTTGCAACCTTTTATCCCACTTCCCTTCACTCTCCCCCCTAAAAATACATTAAAAAAAAAAAAGCATTAAGGAAACAGATTTCCCTGTGAGCAGAGCTCTTTGCTCCTGGAGGTGACAAGTGGCCCATGGGAAATGACCCAGTCACTGCAGTTCCTCACAATCATAGAGTCATGGAATCATTAAGGTTGGAAAAGATCTCTAAGAACATCAAGTCCAACCACCAACCCATCCCCACCGTGCCCACCAGCCCATGTCCCTCAGTGCCACATTTCCATCTTTCTCGAACAGCTCCAGGGATGCTGACTCCACCGCCTCCCCAGACAGACCGTTCCAATGCATCACAACTCCTTTTTGTGAGGAAATTTTTTCTAATATCCAACCTGAAAAATCAGAATATAAATGGTGGAGAAGGTAATTTTCTAATGTAAATGGTGGCACTCAGAACCTGAGATAATACGAGGAGATTATGTCTGAGAAGACATACAGAGAAGTGCAGCTGGTTACTGTTTTTACATTGAGCATATTCTGAGCGTGGTATCTATAGAACCTGCAAAAAAAAAAAAAAAATCTTTATTTTCTTTGATCAAAAATATGCATAGAAATGCCAGTCTTGAGGAAAATATCATACATTTTTTTTCTTGTTTAACAAAATAAATTAAATATACATGACTTCTGTTTAAACTCTATATAGAATTACAAAGGTTTTGCATTTGCATTTGGATTAATTTCCAGTCCATACAGGTATTTAATATGGCCCTTAATTAATCTCTTTTATTTCTGTTTTCACCGTTGTTCAAACCGGAATGAAATTGTATCATTTCCAAAATGCTACCTGTGGGGAGGGGACAACCACACACAACCTAGGTGAATATTTCTCAAATGCAATTTTTCCTACAATATTATTATTTCATTTTCTTTTTCTGTTTCTCCTTATGTTCTCACGTATCTTGCATTGATGTAGAGAATCCAGTAGCTTGTCACCGTAAGCCATCAGAGAAGGGCAGCGTGTTTTGCTTTCTTCACCATCAGCAGTTCAATTATTATTATTATTAATTATTATTATTTCTTAAATATAAATATAAAGGTGTTCTGTACAACGTTCCTCTTTCCTTCCTTCCTTTTTCACGGCAGTGGCACTGAGTCCTGGGACTAGGGCAGTGACATTTGCTCTGTAAAACCCTCAATGGGGGAACTCAATGCCTTTAACTTGAAGAAATTGAAGCAAGTATCTTGGTTAGCATTATAGACAAGACAACTGTGCTTGAGAAACATTCCACATTTCACTTTGGGAACATAAATTCTTTTTTTTTTTCCCCTTGTGTTATTAAGAAGAGGTGAGTTGGTCATTTCTCCTTGTGCTTTGGAACTAAATCTTTACAGCTTGAGTCATTCTAAGGGAAAAGGTTCTCCCACATAAATGGGACAGATCTGGGGTCTTCCCACCAAAACACGATATGCAGCAAGCACAAAAACAGGGGTGCCTGCCCTAGAAAAGCACCATGTCACCTTTTTTTTCTCCTTTTAGCAACAGAAGGAGGAGGTGGTTTATATCCCTACATCCTGTCTCACTTGCCACCACCTTACTTAAAAAATCCAGGAAGGTTCCACTGGTGGAGACAGCTGCCTAGCTGCTGGGATTTGGAGTTCCTTCATTATTCCTTGGCTACATCCTGATTGCAATAATTAAAAAAAAAAAAAATCTCTTTTCTCTGTCTTTCTCTATTATATATATATTTATATAGATAGATATAGATATATACACATATATATATACACACATACACACGCATATACAATTATATATATGTATATATATATTTAAAATCATATATATAATCTTTTCTGTCTGCTTTGCCTACTGCTGGCAGTGTGAGCTGACTTTGAGCAGTCTCTTCTGAGGTACCAGGAGGAAAAGCCCCCATGAGCTTCTGTACACGGCCGCCCTCTTAGCACTGGTACTGAATGTGCTGGTGCTGGTGGACTTTGCCTTCCACATGCGAGTGGGTGTGGGTATGGATGTCCGTGTAAATCTTTGGGTACATTTTGGATGCCATGGCTGGAGCGAGCGCAGGCCCTTGGGACAGTAAATGCTGCTGCTGGGCGACGTATTCCTCATAGTTTATGGAGGAGATGCAGTCTTTGTCTGGGACCTGGGAAACACAGATCCTGTCCCGGGGCTGCGGCCGGTGCACAGGGGCAGCAGCTGGTGGGGAGCAAGGTTTCTTCTTGGTCTGGCAAAGCCACAGGAGGATTGTCCCAAAGATGAAGACCGCCCCAGCAGGGATGCCGATGATCACAGGCCAGGGAAGGCTGCTGGCTGAGGAGGGGGGCACAGGTGCACTCGGAGGCTTGGGATCTGGATGGACATCGTGGCAGGGAAGAGACAGAAAGAGTTAATTAAAAGCAGGCAAGGTAAATTTGAAACAGATGTCACACTTGAGCTGGTTTTGTACAGACTGTATGGCAACTCTGCCAGACTAAGTAATGAGGGAAAAATCAAGCCAGCACATTGTACTTGGTAACTGCTGTGCTTTTCAGTGCTCCTGGAAGGACAAGCAACTAATTTTCTTTGGTGTAGGGGAAGGTCTTTGGGGATTTTTTAACTTATCCAAGCTGTAATGGATGTACATATACTAGAGCCAGCCCAAGAGTCTCCTAACACCTTCACTCTGTGATGGCATGGGCTTCTCCGTCCAGATGGAAGCACACAACACATGGCATGCCAGTACTGTCTCCATGTCAGCAGCACAATTGGATCACACAGAGCCACAACATGCTGCATGCTTGCCTTTACTGAGTATATCTGTGTCTGAACAGCTTTAGACATACTTTAGTGATACTGGAGCTACTAAACTACACTCTGCCAGGGCAGGAAGCAAGAATTTGGTGTTCTGGAGGGGTTGTCTTGAGTTTCTTGTATAGCTGAGAGAAAGGTCAAAAATCACAAGTGAGCCGATGTCTTCTCCTTGGTGCCCAAGCAATAGGGAACTAACATTTCACTTGCCCAACTACTGATGCCAAATAGCCTCCTTCTCCACTAATTTATTTGGAGCTACTATTGGCTTTCCATGGGCAGCAAACTCATTTAAGAAAGGCAATAAGGCAATAAGAAAGGCTCCAGACAGCATCTTTCACAGCTGCCTTCCCCCTAATCTCTGTGCTGTTGGCAGCCTGCACCTTCCTGAGCAGTCACTCTGGTTTCACAGCCTGATCTCTCGATTTATAGACCCCAAAGGAGTACTGGGCTAGGACCCCAGCTATCAAAGTCCCTTCCTAGATAGCTACCAGCTGTTGCTTTCAAAAGCCCTGAAAAATACCTAGGTGCAGAGTTCAGCCTGCAGGGTGACATTCAGAAACTTAGAAAACCGCAGGCTATCCAAACAGCCCAGAATGTTATTTTCAAACATATATCACTTAACTTTCAAGCCAAACTTCTTTAAAATACTCATGTCTTTTTCTCTCCTTGACAAACAATTCAATGGCTAGTTTGAAATATTAAATATATACCATGTGGCTTCTTTGAAGTCAGGAGGACGTGTACTGCTGACCTCAATAGACAAAACTTTCATCCAACACTGGAAATTACAGACTAATTTAGTCTGGAGGGGACTCTGGAGGTCATCTGGTCAACCCCTTGCTCAAAGCAAGACAGGATCAGGGAAATGACCATCAGCTGACCATGAGAACAATAGTCTTTACATTGTTTGGCAGAAATCTGCTGGGCTAACTCAGAAGTGTTTTGATATTCAACCATACTATTCTTCTAAGCTGTCTATGTCAATTCTGCTAGATTTATGAGCAAAGTTCTGTTTTTCTAACTCATGGCCTTGCAACCACATTTTTGCTTCTGAGGGCAAGCTGGGTTCTCCTTCTCTGTTATTGCCAATAACAGCAGGACTGCGGGCGCTGGTTCTGGTATGAGGCCTCATTATAGTGCCATTCAAATCAATGGAAAGTCTCCCACTGATTTCAGTGGGAGCTGGATCAGGCTGTTGTAGTTTGGAAACTTCCAGAGGCTTTGAGTTATATCCCACCCACACAGATTTCTGCTTCACACTGGCTTTCTAGTTGGAGTTTAGTCCTAAATCTAAGTGATGCAGAAGAAGGTGCTAAGGACGAATTGAATTTTTTTCTCTTACTTGGCAACATGCTGTCGGTGTCTAAATTCATGTTGCTGACTTTTGATGACTTCTAAGATGCAGAGTGTGGCAAGTATAGAGCAAAAGTAGCCATGGTAGCTTAGTTATAGGAGTCATTTTTCCCACTACATACACAAAAAAAAAAAACAGTCCTAATACTCTGGGAGAGTTTATGGTCTCTGTCTCTTACTGATATCTTGACCAGTGACATCGCATTAGATCTGACAGCTAAAATGTTCTGATACTGGCTCCAGCCCCTGCATTTTCTTATCTGTGTTGGCCTTGTGCAGGTAAAGGGACGAAAAAGCAGAAAGATGGAATTTGTTATAAAGGTGGTGGTTCTAAAGCTAGATTCACATGTCCAAATGAGGCAGAAGGAGATTCTCCTTTCAACAAAAATATTTATTGGGCAAAACTAAATGAAGTAAATGATAAAGTGAAGATGGTGTGCCTGAAATACACAGGATATAGCCTCAGCTGGACACAGACACCAGCTCTGAGGCCTGCGGAGAGCAGGAAGCAGCCGTGAGTTTGGTACAACGTTCCTCAGGGGATCTTTGGGTAAGAATTTAACTAATCAATCATTCCCTCTTTCACATTCATTCATTTCCTTTTCTTGTGACCAGGACAGTTTTTATTCTTCTCTCCTTTTATGGGCTTGCATCATTGTTTTCTTTTACCAGTAAAGCAATACAAGTAAGAACAAGAGAAAGGAGAAATGTCAGGGAATAGGGCTGCAAATTGTGCTGCCATTCAGTCCCCCTCTCACCTCCTGCACCCTCTTGCTGAACCCTGTAACTGCAGTATGATTTCCAGATCCTGCATTGTATTTCACCCTGCTGGAATTGTTGATCCCCATGGATGGGAGAAAAGGAACCATCAGCAAGAGAAATTCAGCAGGGGCTGATTTAAATCAGGGCTCACATATTCTTAGTAGAATTGGACTAGCTTAAATCAGCACAGCATCACTGAGGCTCATAGAGAACAACAGGTAATGCATTACTAAATACCAAAACATAGGATACTGATTCAGACTGGGGAAATAAAAGCACAACCCACCTGGCAGGACTGTGAGAAAAGCACTGCGAAAACTGTAGCCCATGGTGTTTGCCCCTAAGCAAATGTACATCCCTGCATCCTCTTCCTTGGCTCGAGTAATCATCAGTTTGTTCAGGTAGGAGCCATCAGGCCGGGACCAGACCTCCCCCGTGGGTAGCACAACAAACTTCTGTCCCCCGACATCAATGGTAGAGTTGTACTTGCTCTCTGTGCCATACTCCACCCGCTTCAGCCACTGGATGACAGGTTTGACATCACTGCGGACTTTACACTGGAAGGATGTGGTCCCACCGTAGTCTACCGTTGTGTTGACGGGGTGTGTCCCTGTCAGGATGGGCTTGGATCTCGTTCTCTCTGCACAAAAACACAAGGAGCTCCATGGAAAATGGGGTTTGCCAACCTGATTAACTCGTGATTCCAGAACCATTGCAAAAAGATGTAGAACGCATGCAAAAAATTGTCTAATCCAACTCTCTGCCATACAATAGGCTGAGATCTCAGCTGAATTTCCCCAGTCCCATTTCCCAGGCTGCAACTATGAGAAAGAGCTAAAAGAGGTCATCCTTCCTTATACTCCCACTAAAACATATCTCAGGAAATGCATCCCAGCAAGATGCGATCTTAATGATGTACCTGCACCTACAGAATGTTTGAAAGGTTGCAGAGGAATATAAATGGCTTGAAATTAGCCAAAAGAATAAAACACTTTTGGGATTAAACTTGAACAATACAGCAGGTCTGAATGTGAATTAAGTGGTTTATCTAACTGTAAATGTGTGATTCCAATGATGTCTTATCAATGTCTTATCAATGTCTTATCAATTATCAGTAGAACTATCTGAAGGGAAGATGTAAAGAAGACAGAGCCAGGCTCTTCTCAATGCCAAGAGGCACTGAGCACAAACTGGAGCCCAAGAGCTCCCTCTTTCCATCAGGAAGCATTGCTGTGGGAGCTGCCAAAGCACTGGTACAGGGACCAGAGAGGATGTGGGCTCTCCTCCTTGAGGATTTCCAAAAGCTACCTGGACATGGGGCTGGGCACCTGCTCAGTGGGGGACCCTGATGGAGCCAGAAGGACCCAGAGGTTCCCCTCTCATCCATGCTGTGATTCTGTGTCTTTTATCACTGCCTCTGGTAGGGTGTAATTTACAAGGGCTTTTATTTTTTTAGATCAGATTATTTGCAGTATGAGGCTACCAACAGTTTGGATACAGGAACCTGGGGTAAGACATATTCCTTCTCCTTTTGGTCTTTCCAAATATCTCTTAAAGACAAAAAAAAAAAAAAAAACAGATGGGAAGAAGCCCCTTCCTTCACAGATTGTCTATCAGCAGTGAAGGTAGACTGTGGATTTCTCACATCTTTGCTTTGGGAATCCCTTGGGAGCAGTCTGTCACCTTTCCTGCTGGGTCTGGCATATGTCCATGGGATCAAAACTCTACTGGATGTCATCCCACACCATGTCACCACTGCTGGGCTAGAGCAGCTGAAGCCACAGGCACCACCAGTGCAGAAAATCTTGCATCAGCCTCACCTATCATCTGCTTTTATTACTCCTTTTTTCAGTCTAATTGTCCACACACTCACTGTGAAGTAACATTTGTCAAGTAATAAGCCAGAGATCTTTTCTAGACAATGGCAAAATCTTCCATTTCTCACTCAAATTTTGTTTCACGTCTCAGCTAATGAAGGAAACAAGATGGTAGGAAAGGAAATCAAACACAAAAGTTCACGAGACCATGCTTTCCAGCATGATCATAAGCCATAAGTTGTGTCAATATAACGTAAAATCAAAAGAAAACTAAATTCCTGATTCCTAGGAATATTAGGATCTTATTTTGGTGGCAACATCACAGAAACAAGGACAAGGATTTACTGAAAACTTCTTTCCTAAGCACAGAGAGAAATGATGGTATCACAGTGGGTGGTAACTGCTGGCAATCATCAACCACTTTTGAAGGCAAAACACTGCTGGATTGATCGTGTAACACAACAGCTCCCACCAGCACAGGCTTTGAGGTGACAGCAAGGAACAATGGACCCTCATTCAAAAAAGTCAGGGTACTGTCAACAATGAGAGCTCTAAAGATGTGCCTGGGAAACAAAAATACCACCAGGGTCTCCATAGGACTACAAGCAGAAATCACAGCTGGGGAGACTGAGACTCAGATAAGTAGGATGGGTTTAGGAGTGGAGGCTCAAGAAGAAAAAAAAAAAAAAAAAAAAGGAGGAAATTGAATAAAACCTGAAATACTCCACAGAATGATGTTAAAAATAGAAAGACGTCTGAAGACTGCTTAATGCCCTTATCTGCCTGACTCTGGTTCCAGCTTTCGTTACTGTTTTCACTCCTAGCCAGCAAAAGCTAATGAAAACAAAGGTTACATACATCTTTAAGTTGATAAAAACCAAGATAAACAGGGACACAGAAAGGGGTTTGTTCCTGGTGCTGTCTGGTTTTGATGAAGTGAAAATGCCACAGCTGCCATTAGGATGGGGCTTGATTCATTTCCCTGTCTCTGCTCCTGGTTTTAGTGTAAACATATGTTTTTACTGTCTCCACACAGCTGCATCTTTATCAAATCCAGATGTCTAGCAGGTTTGTGCCTTCAGAGCCCAACAGAGCTCCCCACATGTGCTTTTAATTCCTGTTATTCTAGAGAAAGGACTTATCAGAGACCAGATCTTTACCTTTAAGAACAATCTTTCACACTGGGATAAACTTTCTCATGCTAAAACACATGCACAGACAGACAAACAACATGCTTTCCATGTGGCTGGAAATAGCCCTTCGTGCCCCTACTCCTCATTAATGAAGGATATTGTATCTTCCCCCACTCTGCTCATCTTCTTCTTCAGCTGGCTGTTCCATAATCATTTCCATGACAGTTTATGATGATGTCATAGACAAGGCATGATGATTTAAGAATAAGAGTTCTACTTTGGTCGACTTAGGTAGCTTTGAGTATAATTTTCTTCAGTAATAATAGGGGAAACAGGAGATTAGAGGCCAAAAATAAGAATATTAGACGGTAAGTGGAGCAATTTACTCTACTACATCACAAAGTAAGGTAATCCCCCACAGCTCATCTTCTAAGGGCTGAGACTGAAGATACACACAGGACTTCAGTGGAATTTTAAAATTTTCCTAGCATCTCATTTGTATCCACCTGAACTTTCGTATGTCTAAATGCTTTTAAAAATCTGGCCCTAAAGCCGTGTCTGGCTAGTCAATCTAGTCATAAGATTTCTGCTCATTCCCTTGGGAGATTTCTCTAATGAAGTGAGTCTCTTATTACAGATGTCTAGTGTAACTTTTCAGTTGCTTGGTTTCACTTCACTCTGATAAAGTAATCTGGACCATCCTAGTATTTCCACCCCTCCTCTATGGCCCTCTGTGAAGTGCCTTCTTGGTAAGTTCTCATTTTGCTCTTAAACTGACTGTCAGCGGTATGGGGTTGAATTGGTCAGTTGTGAACTTATGCCGTGTGAGTGATGTCAAAGATGACAGTTTCCTAAGAGTTTCTCTTTATTAAGGAACTTCTAAACTGTATTATTAACACTCTGTCTTTTTTGGATGTTAGGTTTATTCTAGTTTCAACAACATTTTCTCTGATGGCTCCTGTTGGTATTTCTAACACTTACCCAAGTTTATATCCAGCTGTCAGCACTACATCCTCAAAACTATGCTCTCTTAACTCAGCCAGCCCCCTTCTGATAGCTCCCTCCCCCCCTTTCCACCATAGAGGCTGCACTTACGGATCACTTCAACTTTGTAAGTCGCATTGATCTCCCCAACTTTGTTAAACACTCGGCAGGTGTATTTCCCACTATCCTCTGGCTTCAGATTCTTCAGGTTCAGTGTCCACTTCTTCTTCTTGTTCTCCCCAGTCTCATGGGGCATGAGGGGCTTATTGTCCTTCAGCCACGTGATGTCAGGCCGTGGGTTGCCGCTGGCCACACACTTCAGACGGATGGAGCTGCCGACAGGACGGGCGATGACTCTGCGTCTCATCTTTGCAGGCTGGGTGAACCTGGGCTGGGCTGCAAAATGCATGAGCAATTGACTCCAGTGAGCAAAAGGCATATAAAGCAGGATGCTACTGTCAAACATTATGGCCAAATTTTCTCAAGAGGCACTCAGCAGCACCATACAAGACATCTCATATTCCAGCTCATACAGAAAGCACTATCCAGTCTGATGCAGTCGAGTGTCTAGAGGACTGCTATGAATACATTAGCCTCATGCATGGAATAACCCCAGAATTCCTCAGTGTCCCTAAGGCAACTGAGTCAAAGAATCTCACGAAATAATACTAGAATCATGCTAAAGGCAAAATGTGACCCCTCAATCACTTTATAATTGTTAACATATTCTATGCCAGAAATGCAAGACCTTAGCTAAGAACAAACAAAAAAGCCACAGATTCCTGTTAAGCTGGCAATTTTCTCAGTCCTTTGGTTGTCACTTATAGCTTCATTTTTTGAAGACGTTTTTGCCTCTTAGTTCTCACTGGCTTTTGTGGAACTTGGGAAGGGTCAACAACTTTTCAAACTGTAACGCAGTCTTAGAAGTGAGCAAGACATTTGAACAATCATCTGAACTAAAAGGCATCAGATCCAGTGAGTATTAACTTACGTAGCATTCATGTTGAAAGAGCCAAAGGAATCACACAAAAAACACAGAATCACAAGGTTGGAAACAACCTGCAAGATCATCCAGTCCAACCACCCTCCCATTCCTATTAGTACCACAAGCACTAAACCATATCTTGTAGCTCCTCATCCAAGCGCCTCTTGAACACTACCAGGGACGGCGACTCCACCACCTCCCTGGGCAGCCATTCCAGTGCCTGACCACCCTTTGAGAGAAAAAGTTTCTCCTAATATCCAACCTAAACCTCCTCTGGTATAACTTCTGGCCGTTTCCTCAGGTCCTACTATTTGCCTGGGAGAAGAGGCCAGACCCTTTTGCACCACAAGCTCCCTTCAGGAAGTTGTAGAGTGCAATGAGGTCTCCCCTGAGCCTCCTCTTCTCCAGACTGAACAATCCCAGCTCCCTCAGCCGCTCCTCATAAGACTTGTGCTCCAGACCCCTCACCAGTTTCGTTGCCCTTCTCTGGACACGTTCCAGGGCCTCAATGTCTTTCTTGTAGTGAGGGGCCCAAAACTGAACACAATACTCGAGGTGCGGCCTCACCAGTGCTGGGTAGAGCAAACACAACACATGGAAACAAACAAAATAAATGGAAATATACAATAAAAGAAAACTTGAGTCAACCTAATGTCCATCCATCCCCAGTACTATGAAGCAATATCTGCTGGTGGAGAGAATCATGGGATAAGACAAAGTTACCCTGATTTAGGATCGAAATAACTAGTATTCCTAGAAACAGTGATAAGAACACCAGAGAAATGTGACATCCCTCACCTGGCAAAATCTAGAATTTATGCCCTCAGATTTGGATTAGATAAGAATTCCAGAAGGAAAAGAAGTAGCATCTTCATACCTTGGTAGCTTTAGTAATACTGGTGAGGATCTTCCTATAAAATCATGAGTTGGTCTAATTAATCAGTAGAAAGAAAAAATGCTTTGCTTTGCACACTTTTAAGACACTTAATGCTATATGATTTGTTGCAAGGCAAAAGCTTGAAAATCCAAAAGAAATTACAGTTTTTCTTGTATTTCCTTTCTTTGCTTGGAGAAAATGAAAAACAGAGAATGATTGGCCATTGGCTTGGACATGCCCATCAACCACTGCAATTAGAGATCCACAACATCAGTAGAACACAGCACATCAAAGCAAGCTGAGAAGGTTGTACTTCAGATATTGGGGAAGTTTGCTACAGGTGGGACTACCTACTATAGAGTCAGCCCTGCTGCCCAGCAACGGGCAGAAGCTCCAGGATGTGCATTATAGTGGAAAATTGATGGATGGAGGAGGTTAGTTTGAAGCTTCCTCTCTCCATGCATCTGCAAATTGCAGCCATTGCCCTCCAAGGTCTATGACCCTGTCCCCTGGTGCTCTCACCCACCTGCAGCCTTGACCTACAGATCTTCCTCTCAGAAGAAGACACCCTTTGGCATTCCCCTCTCTCGGAGTCTCTTTCTTTAGGAGAAACCATCTGCCTCTGCAGCCTCCTCTTGCCCTCCTTGACTGTCATTTTGAGTCCCAGCCATTTCATGTTATTTCAAACTCTTGCTGAGAAATGCTTTGCTCTCCATACAGAGACTTTCATGTGTAATCTAATGAACTGGAGCAACTCTGGCTCTGAGAATCCTTGCCATGACAGCTGAGCAGCAAGTGTGACATACTAACCTGCACAGCTCCTGGTGCGTAAATAACCCCCTGCACAGCTCCTCCTGTGTAAATTTCTGGGTATTCCCTTGAGGATCTGCTGCAAGAGGAGGCTCCCTTCCACCAAAACAATTGGCCTCTAGAGGGGAAATTAACCCCATCAGGGCTGAATATTAGGAATGACTGCAAGGTCAGGCCTTTCCCCTCACCCTTTCCTGCTTCCACAGCAGTATTCTGGGACATGATCTCTGTGTTCAGTAAGAGTGGTGCGAAAGAGAAACTTTCTCCCCAGAAGCAGACCTATAACATTTCTGTATTTTTCTCCTGCTCTGATTCCCATAAATCTGTCTGAAGTTTTGCACTCATCTCTAATGCAATGTTGCTCAGATACACACTAAGCTACAAGTAAAGCTAAACCTGTTTGGCTCTTTCTGGTTCTGTTTAGGGAAGGTTAAGTGATTATGCGCTCTCAAAAGCTACTCCAGCCTGCATGCAATACGCTGAAATCAGATCCCATTTACACAGCCCTGAATGCTTCCTTGACAAAAGCCTGAATTGGACGAGTTTAGAAAGGACAGTTGACAAAAAAGGAGAAAAAGACAGACACACACATAAGAGAGAAAAAGAGGCTCAACAATCACAAAGGAGATGGAGAGAGAAGCAGCACTGTGAGACAGAAAAGGTCTCCTTTGAGTTTGTGCTGGTAAATGTCCATCCCCAGATCTGTACCATTTACAGAAGTTTTGCTTGTTGGAGTGCCAGAGAAGGTCATTACAAAGTGCCCCTGTATTATTTATACTTCATTGCTTGTTCTCTTCCACATCGCTTGGTGTTTGCTTCATAAACATGAACAGCACATTTGTACAGTATAAATTATGCCAAGCACAAGATCAAGGGAAAACATGAGCAGATAGGGACAAAGAAACAGTGTTGTGCATGGGTTTCTTGCTGAAACCTGTTTACCATGAAGGTTCAAGCTAATGAAAATGAAATGAAGCAGAAGGTTATGAGCACAAAGAGCTGGGAAGGAGTACAGCTATCTCATCTCCCTGGCTAACATCCCGAGATGCACGGATTAGTTCCAAAGGCTCCTGTCTATTATTGCTCCTACAAATCTAGGTGGTTAGCTAAAACATGCAGTCTGCTGTGATCTGCCATGTATACCTCCACATAGTGATAGTGCTGCTTCAAGCTTTCCTGATGCTTAGAAATCATCCTGTGTACTAATAATATGTACAGAAATAATCCTATGTACTACCAAGCACTGAAGTACTTTCAGATCTTTAGGATAAGAGCTCAGACATTTGTGGGAAAATGAGGACAGGGGTATCTATCTTTTCCTACTCTTGTTGGGCAGGTGCTTTCCCCAGTGATTTCCTTCCACAATGGTAGCTGGATGGCAAGCTGGGGCAATCACCAAGTTTCCTCTCTCACTTCTCCAGTGCCCAAGACTCTGCAAACACCAACTGCAACTTCGCTCATTCTCTTCCTGAAACCCACAGATACACACTGACTGTTTATTATTTGAGCATCTGCAGGGAGAACTCACTCCATTTGCTCTGCCTTTTCCTTTCTTTCTGCAACTGAGAAACATGCTGTGTGAACAACACTGAACAGGAACAGAAGGAAAATACACACTGTTCCTTACCCCATTGCTTCCCAGAATGATCTTCATATTCTCCATTAGAGCCTTCAGGTGTCTGGCTGTTCTTTCCTGAGCTGGTGTCATCTGCAACAGAGAGGAAAGTGAAGATGTTAGGAAGATCTCCTGCAGTGCAGCAGTGTGATGAAGGGAGTTTGCATTTCCTCCTGCAGGCACCGTGAAGCTGAAAGGCACTTGACATACATTTGGCATTCATATCCCGGCATGTACAGCTTAGCCAGTTTAGTAAACAATTTAGTTGCTGCTTTATGAGCTTTTCGGCAAGCAACCAAAGCAATGGGAGATAAATCAATGTTTCCATTAATAGTTAACAAAAGACTCTTTGTTTATGTTTACAGGTTGCCATTCTCTAGGAGGAGCCGATCTGTTGTACCTTCTATGCAAATAATGGTATAAGTCAAAATTACAGATAATTAAACCTGGGAGGTGGTGAAGGCTTATGTGATCAGTAACACAGAGAGCACAAGCAATGGAATTAGGGCCACTAATTTGCCTTTCAGTTTCCATACAAAATCAGGAAAGCAAGCAGGTTTGCTGAGGGGTCAAATGAGCCCTCAAGGGATATCAAACACAAAGATAGGGCTGGTCAAAGCATGGAAAAGTTTTATGTATACATCTATGTTTAAAAAAAAAAAATCCACCTATAGCAATGATACAGCTCTTTGCCCCTAATCTCTTCCTATTATTGGCACAGGCTGCTCAGGGAGGTGGTGGGATTACCGTCCCTGGAAGTGTTCAAGAACCTTAGAAATGTGGCAGTGAGGAACATGGTCAGTGGGCAAGGTGGGGATGTGTCAGTGGCTGAGCTTGGTGATCTTAATTGTCTTTTCCAACCTTAATGATTCTATGATTCTAAGTGTGTGTAATAAAGCCAGAACTAAAGTCTTCATCTCTGTGAGGGCAACTTGGTAGGCAGAGAGAGGTCAGAGGAAGGCAGGATCTACCTTAGTAAGAACTAGCAGAACTACCTCTACAGCAGTGTAAAATGCCAGCAAGAGAAGTGGAAATGCTTAAGCTAAGGAATGAATCCCTTTGAATGCTCAGCTCCTCAAAATCATAAGAAAAAATAATTCAGGCAAAAGAGAGAAAATTCTTTACTAATCTCTGCAGTGGAGAGAAAAAGCTCTGTATTTTTTTTAATATTTTTTATAGAGAGTTGTATATGCAAAATGTGCAAAGAGTAGAACTGTTCTTTATAGTTACTTCAGAAGATGAAATGGGCTTAAATAGTGGCATATAAACCTGCATGTTGGCTTTGTGAGTGAAGTCCATAGCTATAACCCCATCCTCAGCCCAGTTTCCATTAGTTTAGAAAATCACCCTGTCTCCTCAACATGGGGCACTTTATGCTGCCACATGGTTGGCTCTCATTTCCTGCTGTCTCTTAAGCAGCGAAGCTGCAGTGCCATAAGGGTTTGTCTCCCCTCACCCCTGGCAGATTTTTCTCTTCTCCTCGTGGTGACTTCGGCACGGTTCCCCCCAGAGGTATGTGCAGCTGTCACTTCGAGGGGTAAAGAAAACTTTCAGGGCCGCAGCACGCGGTGCCCTTGCTCCGGCAGCTCGCTCTGGCCGCCCGCCCTGTCCCACCTCCCTCACCCTTCGCCGTCCCTGGAATCCCAGAGGCTTTCCTGGCTGAGCAGTGGGGAAGCAGCGTGAAACGCAGCCACGCTCAGCAAACAGCCTTGGCAAACTGAACGCAGGCAGTACAAATTTACCCATTATATATGGTGGCTTGCTTATGATGGATTGCGTCCTTTCAGTTAAAATACTGAACGGATTATTTTCTGGTGCTTGTACAATTTTTCTCATAAATACCAGTTGGGCTGTGAATGAAATTCTGGATGCTCCATGGCAGAGAATTTAGTAAATCCTTTAGTACCATTATAAAAATGTATTGGGTAACGAAGAAGAAATGAAAAGTATGGTCAGAGATGTAGGAATCCTGCACACTGTTAAGCTGGCTAAGGCCTTTAAGTGGTGATGTCCTGTCAGCTATATCTTAATCCTCTCCAGCTCAGTGTACAAAGAGCAGGGCAGCCTCCCTTGCCTCCTGCCTCATGTTACAATATGTCAGCCCATGTGCACTCTTCCTGCCTGCACACCAGGACCGACTGGCATCCTCAACACCTCTTGACACGCTGCCAAGCTTTTGATGTCCATAAAATTGCCCTGAATCTGTTTGATCTTTTGAAGATGCCTCTTGGGTTGTTATCCCACCAAATCCCAAACTTGCAGAGTAACTTACCAAACCCAGAGAAAATCGTTTTGGGGGAAGAGATTGGGATAGCTCATGTCACCACAGTGAGCATATGAAACAAATACTTTGGCAGGGTAGCAAGAAGTAGCCACATGCATTTAGGTTTGTTGGTTTAGATCCACTGGAACCAGTTTCATGCTTGTTAGGAATGTGGCAATGTTAACAATAAACCATAGCAGAAGACTTAGGTGGAATGGAAATGTCATAAACATGGAAACTTGTGTAGAATAGAACTACTCCTCCTTCCCAGACCCAGAGGTGCACAATGGGTGAGAGGATGCTACTGAAATCTCTGTTCCAGCGGCAAGAACTGCAAGAAAACCTGAGAACTGCGAAAAAAAAAGAAAAAAAAATCTGATTTATGAAATACTGGATGGAACTCAGCAAAGCTCATTTGGGAGTGATTCCTTGAAACAAGGGAATCTCAGTGCAAGCTTAGAAGTGTGAGCAAGCCAGGAGAACAGCCAGTAATATAACAATAAAGCATTAACCTGGGATGAGAGTACCCCAGGGTCAAGTCCTTCTGCTGCATTCACAGTCACATTTGAACCTCCTCTTGGGTGAGTGTCTTAAGCACAGAACTGTAGTACCAGAGAGCCAAAACGAAGCGCATTATTTAAAAAGTGGAACAGAAAAGCAGGTGATAGATATCTCAGGAGCAATCTTCTTATGGATGAGCCCTGTTTAATTCAGATATATCAATGAGATTTGACTTCCACCTGACACAACCACATCCAAGTTAGCATTGCTTACATAAGAAGTGTCTGTTCTCCCCTGTTTTGAAGAATTTCCTTATTAGACAGAGATTGGGCCTCAGAAAACAAGTCTCATTCAAATATATATGATCAGCACGTAAAGAATGAATTGGTAACCAAAATCATGACTCTTAGCTATATTCAAAAAAGACCTAATAAACTGATTGCTTATTCAAACTTTTGTCACTTCCCACAGAGGCAGCCAGGTCAGGGTGATAAGAACACACACAAAAAATCCAGCAGCAGCCAAAGGGCAGTGAAACCAGCTATGCAGCAGGGCCAGCCTTGCTGCCAGCAGATTACTGCAAGAGGCAGTGCTAAGAAGGATGAGCTGATGAAGTTTCCTACGAGCTCCCTTTTCCGTGACCTATATTGGAAGGTCATCCTGTGCTGGACATCTTGGACACTATCACAGGGTTAGGAGAGCAGCCAGTTGGAAGACTAAGTGGAAAACCTGCCTTGAAAAATAATCACTGACTAATTTTATGTCACGAGTATCTTGGGGGTAGGAAAATACATGCTGTGCACATGATTTGGGTGTCCTCTCTCTACAAGCTGTTTTTGTGGTGTTAGAAAGCTTGAATAATTTGTCAAGAAACCTTAGGTGGAAGATTCCCATATCAGGTCAGGTGACGAACTATCGTATTATGTCAGGTGATAAACTTGGAGACAAGGGACAAACCTATGTAGCCCCCTTCCCCTCCAAGTATCACACCTGGCCATTAAATGTTGGGTCAGAATGGGTCCAAAGGCACCCAGTTGTTCAGGAATGCCATCCCAGTGCTGCCCCCCCAGCTGCTGCCCCCCAGGATGTTGTTCCAAGTTAGCTCCCAGGTTGAGATGCCATGGGTTGGTATGGGCTGGGGAAGTGTTGGGTGTTGGGTGGGGTGAAAGGGGGATCGTGAGCTTGTTTCTGTATGAGATTTGATGCATCTGAGAGTATGAAGCTTCGGCTATCAGTGCTGACGTCATGGCCAAATTGCTCTTTCACACTCCAGAAAGCATGATGCTCTGTGCATATTGCCTGTCATGTGTCCTCCTGGTTGATTTCCTTTCACAAAACAGGTTAGATTTCTTCAGACAGGGATTTCTGTATGTAACCCCATCAGCTGACAAATGGGATCCTATGGGACAAAGAGCACCATATAAGCAGAGTATGGTTACCATTTACTACCACAGCAGAATTGTTCCACTGACTCTTAAAAGTTAAAACAAATGGAAAATTCTGCATAATGATCTGACTCCAAGACAAGCTGATGGGAAATACTCACAGGCTGTTACTGAGCCAGGATCAAATTTTATTTACCCACAGACTTCGTGGGGAGGCTTCATGTTCTAGCTGAATGGGCATGACTTGTTTTCAGACCAATACCATGTTCTGAGCACCCATCCCCAAGTCAAAACATCTCAGTTTTTTATGAAGCAAAACTCTAGCCATAATGTTTCTCTATGATTCACAAAGTTGCTTTAATTTGTTATAATGCAAGGCCAGTCTCTGCTCTGACTTGATGTGACCAGCTTTGGAGCCTTTGATGTCAGAGGCCTTGAAAGCCCCATTTCGCAGATGAGCCAGCTTTGCATAAATAAACAAAGTGACCTCTGAACTGGAGCCTGAGACGGGAACACACTTCAAAGCCCTAGGGGAGGCACTGGGGGGCTAAAGGGGGGAGGGGGGACGGGGCCAACAGGGAATGAAGCGATCAGCATGCATCATTAAGGCAGTCCCTACTCAACACTCAACTGCTGCCCAACAAGGGGTGCAAATGAGGGAGGGAGTGAAATGAGGGGGAAAGTGATGCAATCCAGTCAGGCTTGAACAATTAGAATGAGGCCTTTTCTCATGGATGAATGAAAGGGATCTCTCTGAACTCCAGCTTTAGGTGCTCTCTCTCGCACTTACTTAGGGGCACCATATTTGCACATGGTGTTTGTGCCCCAACTTTGCTGCTGCAGAAGCCCAGTAAATGACAAACTTACAGTTGGCTGTGGATGGTGGGTCTTGGGCCTTCCTTGGAGTTAGATCAGAATTTGTTATCATGAACTTAACCGTAAAA